CTTTATTTGACCTTCTATTTTGAATGATAGCCTTGCTGGGTAGAGTAGTCTTGGATTCAGATTCTTGTTTTTCATGACTTTTATTACTTCATGCCATTCCCTTCTAGCCTGTAGTGTTTCTTGTGAGAAGTCAGCTGAGAGCCTTATGGGGTTTCCTTTGTAGGTAACCTGTTGCTTATCTCTTGCTGCTTTTAGGATTCTCTCTTTGTCTTTAATTTGTGGCATTTTAATTACTATGTGTCTTGGTGTGGGCCTGTTTGGGTTCTTCTTACTTGGGACTCTCTGTGCTTCTTGAACTTGAATGCCTTCTTCCTTCACCAAATTAGGGAAGTTTTCTGTCACTATTTTTTAAAATATATTCTCTTTCCCCTGCTCATTTTCTTCTTCTTCGGGGACTCCTATGATGCGAATATTATTACGTTTCCAGTTGTCCCACAGTTCTCTTAAGCTGTCTTCCTGTTTTTTAATAGTTTTTTCCTTTTGGTTTTCTGATTGGTTGATTTTTTCTACCCTGTCTTCTAATTCACTGATCCAGTCCTCAGCTTCCTCTACTCTGCTTTTTAAACCTTCCAATGTGTTTTTCATTTCTGATATGTCATTTTTTATCTCTTCTTGATGGTTTTTAATTTCCAGTTGGCTTATTTTCAGTGTCTCTATGTCCTTACTCATGCTGTTCAGCTTCCTCAAGATCATGGCTCTGAATTCTAGCTCTGTTAACATGCCTAATTGCTCCACATTGATCTCATCTTCGGTGGAGGTCTCTTGCTCTTTCATTTGGCTCCTGTTTCTGTGTTTCACCATTTTGGCTATCACTGTGGGCTTTGGAGCCTGTCAAGTTTTCCCTTGGGTGTTGGTGTTCTGCTGTTTGTGGCTCCCTCTCCTGTGTTTAGATGAGCGAGGGAGGACCCACGTTAAACACCACTGTCAAGTGTTACTTTCCTGGTTAAAGTTGCCAGCCCAGGAAAGGTACTGTTATCCTCTAGCTTTTTGCCTGGATGCTAGCAGTCTAGGTTACTTGAAGAGTTTTTGGTTGTCAGTTGATTGAAAAACTCCCTCAGGTGCTCAGCACAAGGGGATTTCCCGAGGGTGGGGCAGATGCTGGTTGTTAGTGAGCCTCAATTAGCACTTCAGTGGCCCACGGGGTGGGGTTGGATCTCCAAGGGAGGGGCTGCGGCCTCTCTCAGAGCCCTGGGAAGGAGCAATATGGCCACCATCTTGCGTGGCTGCACTCAGCAAAAGCTCTGAGCGCCCTCCAAACCCCGAGTGTCCCCACACAGTTCCAGTCCAGTCTGCCCTCCCTCTGCCGGAGCCCAAGGTGAGTGGCTGTGGCTGTTTCAGCCTCTGTCCCGGCTGCGCTGTGGAGCCGCCTGGGAGTGTGACCCGAGGGCGCTGCTCCCAGCTAAGGCCGCTGCCGAGCTGCTGACCGTGGGCTCCCAGCCCCCGTCTCGCGCCTTCGCAAGCCTACCAGGATCGAGTCAGTGTCCCTCGTTGTATGGTCCTCGCAAGCTGCTTTTCTGTTGGCTTTTCCCGTCGATTTGTCTGTGTTATAGTTGTAATTCCAGTTTGGTTCTGGGAGACGGTCTGTGTAGCTTCCGTTCACTCCGCTGCCATTTTTTTCTGTCCATGAGTTTTTATTCACAAATATTTATAGAGCACTGTGTGTGAGGCCTAGGATGGGAGAAATGAAAAAGGCAACGAGCAGGTAGAACGTATATGACTTTGGACCCTCAGAGTGGAGAGTCGGAGAGGGCACATGTTTCAATAGAGGTGGCCGGGAGAATGAATGGTGGGAGTGTGGTAATTGGAACAGTAATTGGGGAGTTAGGAGGAGGAGCTGGCTGTTTGTTTGGAGTGGAGTTTTAGCTCTGTGTGTGTGTATGAATGTGTTTATATGTGTATGTATAGGTGGATGACTGTGTGTGTGTGTGAATGTATGTTTGTGTATTAATGAGAGTGTGTGTGTGTATGTAGTATGGGTGGATGAATGTGTGTGTGAATGTATACTTGTATATGGATGAGTGTGAGTGTATGTGTGTGAGTGTGTATATATGTGTGAATGAATGTGTGTATATGTGTATGTATGGGTGTGTGAATATATATTTGTGTATGGATGTGTATGAGTATGTGTGTGAGTGTGTATATATATGAGTGTGTGTGTGTTGGCAGAAGCAGGTGGGGAATGAAGTGAATTAGGCTGCGGATGTGTGATGCTTGAATGCCACGGAGAGACCAGGTTTGTGCCAGAGTCTGGGTCCGAAGCCTAAGGAAGAGTTGGGGCTGGAGGAGGGGGAGAGGGACGTTTAGTGGTTGGTGCTGGGAATAGTTTGACCACCTATTCCATGTGTTTTGTGGTCTGACCACTAATGGATCAGCTCTTTACCATCTTTCATGGTCACTTCAACAGCCTTTGCTTTTAAAATGCCACTTTGGAAGAACATGCTCCGGGTAAAAATAAACCCGAGGGGTTGAAGGGTTTATTAGTAAAGAGCTAGTAATCAGTAAGGAGACAGAAGTCCCCACGGGTTGCTCCATGGTGTTTGGGATTGCACTGGTCAGCCAGGCTGAGCTGGTGGCCCACAGGGACTGCCTGTGGCAGTAACTTGGCAGTTGTGGCTTTCAGTGTATCACAGTCGCTGCTCCACTCGGTGGTGCTTAGAAAGTCTGACTAGAAGATGGGAAGTGTGAGTCATTGGAGCGATGTACTAGAAAGGTGGTGGAAGGACACAGCCCTGGATTCAAATCTCCCACTTTGGAGCTGGGTGGACACTGGTTAACTTCTTTAAACTCTGCCTCCTCAGGAATGAAATGGGAATTGTGAATGGTAGTTCACAAATATATACATGTGTATATGTGTGTGGACACATGCATGCAGATAACATACATACCAGGCATGAGTCTAAGCACTTATATGTATATTTTAACTTAATTTTCGCAGTAACCTTATGAGGTAGTTACTGTTATGATCCCCATTGTTATAGGTGAGGCACCAGAGAGGTGAAATAACTTGCCCAACATTACACAGCAAGTAAATGGCAGAGGCAGGATTTGAACATTCTGGCTCCAGATCCCTGGCTTTTCATCATAGCTCTTGACTGCCTCACAATTGGTGGCTCAGGTTCATGTGTAACACACCTGAAGGGTCTTCACATTGTGCTTGGGATGGAGTTGGGGCTTCGTAGTGACAGCGGCGATTGCTGCTTCCTGAGGAATCTTGATGTTGCAACATTCCAAGGAGTGCGGTCTTGGTCTGTGCACAGCCTGATGAAGTCTGTCCTTTCCACATTAAATGCACTTGGTATCCTTGTCTGTACTCCAGCCGCTCTGCCAAAAGTTGACATGAGAAAAGAGTCTGAAACCCTGGGTATGGGGTAACTTGGGAATACCTGGGCTTATGCATGTAACGGCGTAAATACATTTGGGTGGTATTTGTTCTGCAGTCAGCTGTTGCTAGAGAAGCACCGTGGTGTGTCAGCTCTCTGCCTGGGGGCAGGAACCCCCCAGCTGTGCGACTTGCCTGTATGATGAGGAGGCAGGATGACCATCTAGAAGCTTTTGGTATTTCTCTGTAGCATCCACATCATGGCGAGGTGTGCTCCCATGGTGGGCAGGGCCACGTTGGTTTAACTTGACATGGCACAGGGTCCAACCTCACTTGCAACTAAGTGCTTGTGGAGATGGCATTTGAGGGAATTAGGATTTTGAGTTCTTTCCATTTCCTGACCCAGTAAAATCATTCTTGGAGAAGTCATGATGTTACACATTTCATTTGAAGCGTAAATCACAAGAGAACAGTTCCTTGACCTCAGCAGTTTATAATCTGAATGGATCATAAATAAAAACAGCGTTCAATGAAACTACACTGTTTGATCAAATTGATGTGAATAAAGGTAGTGCTGGCAAATGGAAACTTCTGTTTAGGTAGAGTGACTTTTCTCCTACAAGGCAAAGTGCTATGGAAGAAAAATGTAGCCTTACCATTAAAGTAGCAAACATTTACTGAGTGCCTACTGCACATGAAGCTGTGTATTAGGAGCTTGGGGATGAGACCTTCAAGCAAAGAGTATAACCGAGTGGGATTACTGCTACCCAAGAGCATGTGCCCATCTTATGGAAGCATAGGGAAAGAGTGTCACACTCTGGGGACCCCAAGGAGGGAGCACAGGGGAGGTGACACTGAAGAATGAGTAGAAGTTTGTGAGCCAGTCAAGAGAAGAAGGCCCCTGCAAACAGGTCACCATGGTGGTGTGAGACTGTGGCCACTGGAGAACTTTAGATGATTAGGGGTGACATGCGGAGGGGTGGGGATAAAGGAAAGGAGGCAACAAGGGAGTTCCAGTACCACTTCCTTGGCAAGTGTGGAGGAAGGCCTTGGGGTCAATGTGGAGTTGCAGAAATGGATTAAATTGATATGAACCTCAGAAGGAGAGGATTTTATGCAAATGAAAAATAACTTGACAGTGACTGTGGGCTGCTAGGAGAATGCTAGGTTTCTTCCCACCCCCTGTCAGATTTGTGTCCTGGCAGTGAGCCAGGACATTTCAAGGTTGACAATTATATGGGCAGGTTCTACAAGGCAGTGAAAAGAATGTCATTTGGGGAGTTTGAGGATGGGGGTGTTTCTTGATTGTGGAACACAGACTCAGTGGGAAAAGTCAGAGGATGGGTAAAGTGAGTGACACAATGGGGAGACTGACCTGAGGGCCTTGCATTTAGAGCATAGCCAAGGATGGCAAGATCAAGATTCTGATGGGGGACTTTAGGCTTCTGACCTTCGAAAGTGTTCTTGGGGCATAGTAGGGGCAGAGTTGTACACGTTTGGCAATAATAGCTCTTATAGGATCCTTTCCATCCAATGCAAGCACTTTCATTTCTGTCTCTGTAGTTGGTAGGGTAAGCATTTAATTGTCGGGACAAGAGGAGTGCTCATCTCCTTCTTTTTGCTTATTCTTGGTATGTTGCAGTCTGATTTTTTAACCCTGGTTCTTCTCTCTTTGGTTCAGAACCAGACTATCAGGTGTATCTGAATGCTTCTAAGGTCCCTGAGTTTTCAGATGACCTCACGGAGCTGGATTGCCGGGTAGTGGACATGAAGAGCATGGAGGCCAGTGTTCGTGTGACAGTGTCCTGGTACTACAGGATGAACCGGCGCAGTGATGATGTGGTGACCAGTGAGCTGCTTGCAGTCATGGACGGGGACTGGACGCTGAAGTACGGAGAGAGGAGCAAGCAACGGGCCCAGGATGGAGACTTTATTTTCTCTAAGGAACGTGTGGACACATTCAGTTTCCGAATCCAAAGGACTACAGAGGAAGACAGAGGCAATTACTACTGCGTTGTGTCCACCTGGACCAAACAGCGGAACAATAGCTGGGTGAAGAGCAAAGATGTTTTCTCTAAACCTGTCCACATATTTTGGGCATCAGAAGGTAGGAACTTTGTTCTTGTTCTTTATTCTTGTTTGGTTTTGGCTTAAGTCATCCCACTGTATGTTTTCAGATGTACAGTCACCCTTCAGGTTTCCACTTATATTAGGAATCCAAGAAACACATGCTCAGATGACTACTGCTTCTCTCTACAGCCCACAGATGGTGATGCTGGGCAAGGATAAGTCCTAGAGAGAGAGTTGGGCTTGGTCGGGGCAGCCCTCATTTTGGAGGCACTCACAGTATTCAGGGGGTCAGCCATTGATACTGTTGCTCCACTGGGTAGACTTAAGCCAATCTCACACAGGCCTTTGGGAGTGGAGACCACAGGCCATTGCATTTGCCACTGAGCTGCCAGTCACCCATTCCGAGAGATTGTTTATAGGGAGAAGTGACCAGAGTGCAAGGGAAACCTTTTCTTTCTCTTTTTGATTTTCAAAAAAAGAAGGGAGGGAGAGAAAGAGAACTATCAAGCAGTTGCCTCCCGAATGCGTGCAGACTGGGAATTGAACCCACAACCTTTTGGTGTATGGAATGCTTCTCTAACCAACTGAGGGACCCGGCCAGGGAGGAAACAATTTGTTTGCTGCATCTCCTCACGCGTGCTCAGAACACCACAGGCCTTGGGATGTCAGGTTCAAGTCTTCATTCCTGTTCTTGTCTATCGCCACAGGCCTCCTCGGTCCTCCTTCACTCCTGGATGACAGGCCTACATGCCTCTGGTGATGCACTGCCAGCTCTTCTACATCCCCAAACCCCAAGCAGGGCCCCATCGAACCCAGAAAAATCTCCTGCTTCCGGAATCTCATCTCTGTTTTTTTGTTTAATCCTCACCCCGAGGACATTTTTGCATGTATCTTCAGATAGAGCGGGAGGGAGAGAGGGAGGAAGAGAGAGAAAGAAACATTAATGTGAAAGAGACACATCAAGTGGTTGCCACGCACACGACCCCAACCGGGGCTGGTGACAAAATGCAATTGAGGTTTGTGCCCTTAGCAGGAACCAAACCCAGGACCCTCCAGTCCACGGGCTGATGCTCTAACCGCTGAGCCAAACTGGCCAGGGCCTGAACCTCATCTCTGAATGTTCCTTTCTCTTTCCTCAGTAAACGTTACCAGCTGCTCTCCCTTGAGGACTCTGTTCACCCAGAGTCCCCTGAGTGGCGATGTTTTCTTCCCACACTTCTCATACAACTGGGCCTGGGGGGACAGATCCCTCCTTGTCTCTCACTGCAGCTTCTGGACCATTTTCCTTCCTCCCTAAAAACATAGCTCCCCTCTCATGTCATCAGGTCATACCCCTCTCGTTGTCATCACCTGTCGACTCCTAGGTCCACCTATTCATTCTTTGAAGATGTTAACTCTTGCTTCACAGCAACTGTCTCCAGTGTGCCTCCTGTCCTGCTGGCTTCGCTATGTATGTGGAGCGCTGGGTCACACCATGGCTGCCCATGAATCACACAAAGAGTGTTTTTAAAAACTGAAATTTGAGTCCCACAGGAGATTTTGTCTCAGTTGGCCTGAGGGTATGTGCATTCAGGCATTGGAATTTTATTTATTATTGTTTTTTTTAATCCTCATTGGAGGATATTTTTTACATTTATCTTCAGACAGAGTGGGGGAGAAAGAGTGAGAAACACCAATGTGAGAGATGCAGCGATTGGTTGCCACCTGCACGACCCCAACTAGGGCCAGGGACTAACCGCAACCGAGGCACATGCCCTTGGCCAAAATCAAACCCAGGACTCCTCTTGGTCCGCAGGCCAACGCTCTAACCACTAAGCCAAACCAGCCAGGGCCGGGCATTGGAATTTTGAATGCTCCTAAGGTGGATCTCCTGTGCAACTGAGGCAGAGAAGCCTTTCATTCTCAGCCCCTTGTCCTTCTCTCTGGTCATTATGTCCTCCGTCCTATTCTTGTTATTCACGGCCCTGCTCACACCCTAACTAGATCATATCACTGCTGATAACTGAAAGGCCTCCATGCTCTCAATTCCAAACATCCTACTCTCTAGGCACATGTCTGTCTTTCTAGATCACTCTCTTCTAGTACTCCAACATCAACTCTCCACCTATCAGGACAGACAGCCCATTAATCCTACCACCTGGCTCTGTTCTTCACTCCCATTGTCTTCACTTCTGTCTTCTGACCATTTGCCCAGGGTAGTCCAATCTGTGCCTGTTGTCCTGCGTCATTTTTAACAGCACTCTGTTTATTATTAGATATGTCCAGAAGGTCAGATAAGTTAGGTGTCAGCCTGTTACCTAGCCCAAGTTCCCAGTCAGCCACAAAAACTTCCTGCACACACCCTTAGCTCCCTTGCCCTACTCTCTGTTTATACTATACTCTGGGTAAACTACACCCCAGTTCAAAACCAGCCCTCTGCTGCCTCCATCTCCACATCTACAGCGCTGAATGTGGTTGGAGAAAAACATTCAAAGATATTGGCTGGCCTCATGTTAGATTAGATTTGCGATTGTTCATGTCAAGTGGGCTCTCAACACTCCCTGGGCATCATCTACATTTCCTCAATTGGTTTACTTCCCTGCTGTCTAAAATGACCATTGCAGGTCACTTTATCTGAAAAATTCCTTCTCCAGCCTCACTCTCAGCTCTTGGTCCTGCTTTCTAGTCCCTAAACAAAAAGAAACTTTCAGGGGAGAATTCTCACACACCAACCCCAGCTCTTGGGCTCACCGTTACATGACCTCATGTCCTAACAAATGCCAGCCCTTCTCACTGCTCAGGCACATGGCTTCCCTCTTATGTCTTCAGTATGTCTCTCTTGTCGGGACCTTTCCTGTTGGCTTGTAAACATGCTGGTAGATCTCCTGTTTGGGGTTTCTTTTTTAAAACTAAACTCCTTTTGACCTCCCTTCTCTTCTATCTTCCTGTTCCCCACACCTCCTTGTCCACCTGTTACTCTCTTTTTTATTTCACAGTAGTCCCCTCTACCCATGGTTTTACTTCATGTCATTCAGTTACCCGTGGTCAACTGTGGTCCAAAAAATATTAAATGGAAAATTCCAGAAATTAAAAATTCATGTTTTAAGTTGCATATCATTCTGAGTAGCGTGATGAAATCCTACTCCATCCCTCTCTGTCCCTTCTGGGGCGTGAGTCATCCCCTTGTCCAGCATCTCCACTCCATGCACACTCCTCAGTACACAATCCTCACCCATTGGTCACTTAACAGCCCTCTTGGTTATCAGATCAACTATTGTGGTGTTACTGTCCTTGTGTTCATGACACCCTGTTTTACTTAATAATGACCTCAATGTGCATGAGTAGTGATACTGGCAATTTGGATGTTCTAGAGAGAAGCCATAAAGTGCTTTCTTTAAGTTCTTGACTTAGTAAGGAAAGAACAAAAATCATATGCTGAAGTTGCTAAGATCTATGGTAAGAACAAATTTATCCATAAAATTGCCTAATTTATAAATTAAACTTTATCATAGGTATGTATGTATAGTAAAAAACATAGTATATCTAGAGTTCGGTACTATCCATGGTTTCAGGCATCTACTGGGGTTCTTGGTGTGTATCCCCTGCAGATAATGGGGGGACTACTGTATAGCCAAAGTATTTTATTTATCTGTATTTATCTGTATCCCATTTTCTCTCCTCCCATTCTCTCTGGTACCTATTTTTTTTTTTTTTTTAATCTTTATTGTTGGATGTAAAATGGATTACAGATGTTCCACATTTTTCCCCCCATTGACCCCCTCCTCCCCATTCACGCCGCCCTTCCACCTTTTCCCACACTATTGTCTGTGTCCATTGGTTATGCATATAAGTTCTCTGGTTTATTTCTCCCCCCCCCCCCCCAGCCCCTTTCCCTTTGAGGTTTGTCAGTCTAGCAATGAATTTGTACTTCTTAATCCCTTCACCTTTTTCACCCATTCCCCCAACCCCCCTCCCAACTGGCAACCAACAAAATGTTCTCTGTATCTATGAGAATGTTTCTGTTCTACCTGTTCATTTTGTTTGTAGATTCCATTGTTGATAGATATGTATTCATTGCCATTTTGTTTGTTCATATATTTTATCTTTTTCTTCAAAAAGACCCTTCATCATTTCATATAATAACGGTTTGGTGGTGATGAACTCCTCTAACTTTTTCTTGTCTGGGAAAGTTTTTATATGTCCATCGATTCTAAATGACAGTTTTGCAGGATAGAGTAATCTTGATTGTAGGTTCTTATTTGTCATCACTCTGAATATTTCTTGCCACTCCCTTCTGGCCTGCAAAGTTTCTTTTGAGAAATCAGCTGACAGCCTAATGGGAACTCCCTTGTAGGTAACTAGCTGCCTTTCTCTTGCTGCTTTTAAGATTCTCTCTTTGTCTTGAACCTTTTGCATTTTGATGATGATGTGACTTGGTGTGGGCCTCTTGGGGTTCATCTTGTTTGGGACTCTCTGTGCTTCCTGGACTTGTATGTCTGTTTCCTTCACCAAGTTAGGAAAGTTTTCTGCCATTATTGTTTCAAATAGGTTTTCGATTTCTTGTTCTCTCTCTTCTCCTTCTGGCACCCCCAAGATGCGAATGTTGGCACGCTTGAAGTTGTCCCAGAGGCTCCTTACACTATCCTCATTTTTTTGGATTCTTTTTTCTTTTTGCTGTTCTGATTGGGGGGCATTTTTTGCTTCCTTATATTCCAAATCGATGGTTTGCTCCTTGGATTTACATACTCTATTATTGAATCTGTGTAAATTATTCTTTATTTCAGTTAATGCCTCCTTCAATTCTAACTGTGTATCCATGATTTCTGACTGGTCCTTTTTTATGCTCTTGAGGCCCTCACTAAGTTCACTGAGGTTCTCACTAAGTTCATTGAGTATCCTTATAAGCAGTATTTTGAACTCAGTATCTGTTAGGTTGCTTATCTCCATTTCACTTAGTTCTTTTCTTGGGGTTTTGTTCTGTTCTTTCATTTGGGACCTGTTTCTTTGTCTCCTCATTTTGGCTGCCTCCCTGTATTTGTTTCAGTGTATTATTTAACAGAGGTATGGGGCTATCTGAGACCAGATGCTGCTCATTTGAAAGAATTTAGGAAAAACCTGAAGCAGGATCCAAGACCGGCCAATCCTATGGTTAAGCAAGTGGCAACACCTTGGGTGGGCTTGAAAGTTGGGTGGGGCAGGGCGGGGTGGGGTGGGGCAGGGCGGGGTGGGGCGGGGCGGGCCCTCAGGGAGTCACCAGGGCGGGGCTACCAGTGTGAGCCAGGTTGCTGGAGTCCCAGATATAGTGACTGCCTGCCGCCCCCGGAAAGGGCTCACCAAAGGAACAAAGGCCTCTTACAGCAGTTTGTCCTGGAGAAAACCCCCTCTCCAGCCCTCGCTCCAGTGCCAAACAGCTCAGTTCTTCCCTGTATGTCTCTGGCGCCCCTCGAGCTGCCTCCCCTCCGAGCTTAGAGGGAGAGAGTCCGACAAGTCTGTGCGCGGGCCCTTTACAGAGCTGCCTGGGGCTCCAGCCACGTCAGCTTCCCTGAGCCTCAGTTCCCACTGGTTTTTCCAGCTAGAAGTTATGGGGATTCTTTTCCTGGCACTGGAACCCTGAGCAGGGCACCTGGTGTGGGACGGGGACCCCTCAGTCCTCAGGAAGGACCTTCCCAGCCGAGGTGTCCTCCTGATTTTTATCCGCCACACGTGGGTGTGGGTCCAGCCCGTTGCGCTGCTGCCCCTCCTACCAGCTGGATGTGGCTGCTGCTTTAATTCCGTAGTTGTAGGACTTCCATTCAGCTTGATTTCAGGCGGTTTTGAATGATGGTTGTTCTGTAGTTTCGTTGTAACTTTGATGTGGTTGTGGGAGGACGCGATACCGCATTTACCTGCCCGCCATCTTGACCGGGAGTCCCTCTGGTACCTATTCTGATCGCTTTTGACTCCACTGCTTGTGATAGTAAATTACTAGTGATCAACTTATTGCAAAACCCTACTGTTCTTACCTTACTTGAATTATCAGGATTTAACCAGGTACTCAGTCCCTCCTCCTAGACATACTTTGGTTTTCCTTTGGCTGTGGGGCACCACCATCTCTGGGCTTTCTTCCAACCTGATAGCTCTTCCTCTGAGCCTCCTTTGCTGGTTCCTGTTCTTTTTCCTGCCCTCAACCATTACACTGCCTCAAGGCATAGTCCTTGGATTTTTTTTTTTATTAAACTTCACTCCCTTGGTGATCTCTTCTAACCTCTCATTTAAATACCACCTATAGCCTCAGCCAGGTGGCTCAGTTGGTTGGAGTATCATCCCACACACCAAAAGGTTGTGGGTTTGATCCCCCCCCCCCCAAGTCGGGATACATACATGAAGCAACCAATCTATGTTTCTTTCTCACATTGATGTTTCTTTCTCTCTTCCTTCTTCTCTCTCTAATATAATAATATTATATCCTCTAGCCGGTTTGGTTCAGTGGTTAGAATGTCAGCTTGTGGACCAATGAGTCAAGGGTTCAATTCTAGTCAAGGGCATGCATCTCAGTTGTAGTTCATCTGTGGCCCTGGTCAGGATCCTGCAGGAGGCAACCAGTCTATGTGTCTCTCAATTCAGTGTTTCTCTCTCTCCCTCCTTCCCTCCCACTTTATCTGAAGATAAATGGAATAGTATCCTCAGGTGAGGATAAAAAAAATCCAAAAAAACAAAAAAAAATATCCTCAGGTGAGGATTAAAGAAAATCAACAAAAGAATATAGGAGGTTCTCAATAAGTACTTGTGTAATTAACGAATGAATGACCAAACTCACAGGGGAATCAAGATAGAATGTGGATGGCTCAGTGGAACCTCAGGAATAATCAGTAGTTCTGGAGAGACACCATAACATACATGTTCTGCTAATGATTTGGTGGAACAACTATTCCCTCAAAACACCCAACATAAATATTTCATTTTATAACTGAACAGATTATAGAATTAATCATCTCATTAAAGGATAAAAAGAATGTGTTTGGCCCTGGCTGGAGGGGCCTGGATTGCCTGGGTTCGATCCCCGGCACCAGTCAGGGCACGTGCAGGAGGCAACCAATCTCTGTGTCTCTCATATTGATGTTTCTCTCTCCTTTTTCTCTCCCCTCCTCCGCCTCCCCCTCTCTCCCACTCTCTCTCAAAATTAATGGAAAAAATATCCTTGGGTGAGGATTAAAGGAAAAGAAGAGAATGTGTTTAATTAATTTATTCATCCAGTCCACAAATGTTTCAATACCATCCAAGTGCTTGAGCTGTTCTAACATAGGTGACTTCTAGTGTGTATACGCTTAGGGGTTTGTTTGTTTTTACAGAGAATGTACGAGGAGTAGCACACTTGCTCAAAATGTTGAAACAGCTCTCTGGAAATGACTAGATCTACAAGTGGGTGCTCCCATCACTTTAATAAAAGTGTTCTGGAATGTTACCATCATGTGATTAAACAGAAAGAATACATTTTATTTCTCTCCTGCCCTGCCCTTCCAAGCAGGCTGATTAAACTAACGGTTCTTTCCTTGTACCCAGTGGAACCTCGGTGGGGAGAGGCCAGTGGTGTTGCTTAGAGCTTCTCTTGCCCAGTTCACTAAGAGTGAGCTTTCCCTCACATCCTTGGAGGGGCCATATCAGTGGCAACCCAAATTCTTGATCTGAGTAAAACTTCTCAAGGACTTAAGAAAAGCCCTTAAATGAAGTTTTCACCCAGCAATTCTCACTTCCCTCACACCCAGTAAATCACTTCAGACTGCTCTTCATCCAACGTGATTTTCTGAGTTTCCACATTGTCTGAAGTGCTGTTGGTTGGCAATTTGCAAATAAATTCCTGTTTCCTGGAATTGTTCTTTCAGATGCATATCCATTTTAACTGATCTCATTGGAAATTGCCTGTTTCTGCTTCTTCATTGCAGATTCTGTGCTTGTGGTGAAGGCGAGGCAGCCAAAGCCTTTCTTTGCTGCAGGAAATACTTTTGAGATGACTTGCAAAGTGTCTTCCAAGAATATTAAGTCTCCACGCTACTCTGTTCTCATCATGGCAGAGAAGCCTGTTGGGGACCTCTCCAGTCCCAACGAAACCAAGTACATCATCTCCCTGGACCAGGACTCTGTGGTGAGGCTGGAGAATTGGACAGATGCCTCACGGGTGGATGGCGTTGTGTTGGAGAAAGTGCAGGAAGATGAATTTCGCTATCGAATGTACCAGACTCAGGTGTCGGATGCAGGGCTGTACCGCTGCATGGTAACAGCCTGGTCTCCTGTCAGGGGCAGCTTGTGGCGAGAAGCAGCAACCAGTCTCTCCAATCCTATTGAGATAGACTTCCAAACCTCAGGTGAGCAGGGAACCCTATGGAATTATAGATTGAGCTAGAAGAGACCCGAGGGTTTTGATCCAATGGCTTTATTTATTTATTTATTTATTCATTCATTCATTCATTCATTCATTCATTCATTCATTCATTATCCTCACCCAAGTATATGTTTTTTAATTGATTTTAGAAAGAGAGGAAAGGGAAAGAAGAGAGAGATGAAAGAAGCATCAATCAGTTGCCTCTCGTACATGCCCTAACCCATAATCGAACTCACAGTCTTTTGGTATATGGGACAGTGTTCCAACCAACTGAGCCACCCAGCCAAGGCTGGCTTTATTTTTTCTTAATAGCTTTATTGAGATTCGATTCATATGCTGTACTGTTTATCCCTTTAAAGTGTGTAATTCGAGCCTAGACCCTTGCCATACTACTGGTCACGGAGGTATGCAACCTTTTTTCAACCTAGAATGATGGTTCTCCAACATGGTCCCTGGCCAACAGCTTCACCTGGGAACTTGATGGAAAAGCAAATGCTGGGCCTACCCCAGGCCTACCAAACAACACTCCCTGAGGGTGGGTACAACAGTCTGAGTCTTACCACTCTCCTGGTGATTGTGGTACAAACTAGGGCTCCAGAACCACTGCTCTGTGGCAGGGTTCTCAAGCTCCACACTCTGCATGTTTTGATCTAGATACTTCTTTGTTGTAGGGGCCTTTCCTGTTTTTTGTAAGTAGGGTCGCCAGATTAAATACAGGGCGCCTAGTTCAATTTGAATTTCAGATGAACAACAATGTTATTCTGATTAAAAAAATAACTGGGAGTCCTTGCCCTGGCTGGTTTGGTTCAGCAGTCAGAGCAACCCTTTCGTCTGCAGGTTTGATTCCTGGTCAAGGGCATGTACTTGGTTGTAGGTTCTATCCCTGGCCCCTGGTCAGAGTTGTGTGGGACATAACCAATCAATGTGTCCCTCTCACATCGATGTTTCTCTCTCTCCACCCCCACCCAATCACTGTATCTAAAACTCAATGGAAAAATGTCCTTAGGTGAGGATTAACAATAATAAAAAATAAAAATTAAAAATAACTGGAAGTCTATTTGCTTTGACCACCCTACCCATGTGCATGTTTATTTGCTAAAGCTGGCAACCCCAATTATAGTATATTGCACATCCTTGGCCTCTGCCTACCAGTAGCACACCACAGCCCTGCCCTTCTAGTAATGACAGTTAAAAATGTCTCCAGTGTCCCTCCTCCCATCCCAGATTCCCCCTCCCCTCCTCACACAAATAAAGTGTATAATTTAATGTCTTTCAGTGTATTTACTAAGTTGTGCAACCATCTCAACAAACAATTGTAGAACATTTTCATTACAGAGAAACCCTGTACCCATTAGCTGACATCTTTCGATTCTACACCCCTAACCCCACAACCTGCTATCCCCCAGCAACCCTAATCTGCTTTCTATTTCTATAAACTTTATTATTCTGGATATTTCACATAAATGAAATATAATATGTGGTCTTCCTATCTGGCTTCTTTCACTTTAGCATAATGTTTAATGGGTTATCTATGGTGAGGCATGTATTAGGACTTTATTTCTTTTTATGACTGAATAATATTTCACCATGTGGGTATAGTACATTTTGTTTATTCCTTTATCAACTAATGGCCATTGGGTGTTTCCAGTTCTTGACTATTAGGAATAATGCTGTATGAACATTCATGTATAATTTTTTGCATGAACATACTACCCTCATTTTAAAAAATAGATGAATAATTATAGAATCTTTAGTAAACATGGCAGAGTGTGAATAAATAGGAGGGAACCGAGTCTCCAGAAAGGTTAAATGACTTGCCAAAGATGGAAGATGCAGAGATAAGACCCCAGTTGTATCCAGCCTCTTGGCCTTCACTCTGACAGGTCCCTAGCACTGAAGGTGATGGGCACTCTTTTAGGCCCAGCTTATAAGCACAATATCTCCATAAAGGGACTGAGTATCCCAACCTTATACTTGACCTTGCTTTTGGAATGGAAAAGGTGTCCTGTCAATTAGTTGAGTCAACAGAGCTGCAGTGGTAAATGTTATGTGCTCACCTGGTTTGTTAAGAACAGTTACTAGTGGTTCTATCTATGGGAATATTAATTAAAAAACAGGCATTTTTATGTCTGTGGTGAATTGATTTTATCTTTGGTAAGTAAGGCTTTTTTATCCTTTAAGGTACAGAGGTTCACCTTTTTTTAAAAATGGTATAGATACATATTTTAAAATAGAAATATTTCTTGTTTATCTGTAATTCATTAAGCTTCATCTGTGTGTAAGTGTGTGTTTTAGCAGGTAAATGGCTTAAAAATCTTTGATACCCAGTATTATTTAGAATATCAAGGTAAAGGACTAGCATTTGTAAGTTTTAATATGCAGTGTTTTCACTAATCTGTCCTGGGTTTCAATTAGAAATGTCTGAATGTGTACATTTGTACTCACCTTTTCATGGATGTATAATGAAATAATCTTCAGCCACCTTTTAAGCTCTTAGACTTTAGATTATTAAACAGTAAATATTCATTTAAATCCTTAGATTTGGAAAGAACAGTTCTCTTTTATTGTATTTGTTGTTTTTTACATATTATATAATATATGTTTACATAGTAATTATAAAATCACAAATTATAATCTGCCCTACGAAGGCAGAGAGGGGGTTGCTTTGACAAGAGGCAGGGCAGTTAGGAAGAAAATGCAGGAAGATCCAGTTGCTCTCCTCTTACTCGCTTACCAGAATTGTAGAAAGAGCCGTAGTGATGAAGACCCCTATACAGTTAGGTCTGCTCTCTTTTGTTTTTGATTTATCTTTATTGTTGAGACTATTACTGATGTCTCCCTTTCCCCTCCCCCGTGTTCCCACCCTGCCCCAGGCCTTTACCACCCTATTGTCATATCCATGGGCAATGCTATATGCATATAATTTATTTGTTTAATCTCTTCCTGCCCCGCCCTCACCCCATCCCCCCCTTCTGAGATTCATCAGTCTGCTTCATGTTTCTGTGCCTCTGGTTCTATTTTATTTTGTTCATTAGATTCCACATATAAATGAGATCCTATGATAATTGTCCTTCTCTGTATAGCTTATTTCGCATAACATCATAAACTCCAGGTCTCTCCATGCTATCTCAAAGGGTAAGAGATTCTTCTTCACAGCTGCAAAGTATTCTATTGTATAAATGTACCACAGTTTGTTTGCTTATTTATTTATTATTGTTGAAAGTATTACAGATGTCCCTCTTTTCTTCCCCCATTGACACCCTTCTCCCTGATCTCCTCCCCATCCCCCTAACCCCGCTCTTCACCACACTGTTTTCTGTGTCCATTGATTATGCATATATGTATATAAATTCTTTGGTTTATCTCTTCCTGCCCTCCCATCTCCCTTTCCTCTGAGGTTTGTCAGTCTGTTCCCAACTTCCATGTCTAGATCTATTTTGTTCATCAGCCTGTTTTGTTCATTATATTCCACAAGTAAGTGATATCATGAGGTACTTGTCTTTCTCTGACTGTTTTTTTTCCACTTAGCATAATACTCTTCAGGTCTCTCCATGTCATTTCAAAGGGAAAGAGATTTTTCCTTCTTACAGCTGCATAGTATTCTATTGTGTAGATGTACCACAGCTTTTTTATCCACTCATCTACTAATGGGCACTTGGGCTGTTTTTAGATCTTAGCTATTATAAATAATGCTTCTATGAACATAGGGGTGCACATATTCTTTCTGATTGGTGTTTCAGGATTTTTAGTATATATTTCCAGAAGTCAGATTGCTGGGTCAAAAAATGGACAAGTTCCACTTATAAGTTTTTGAAGAAACTCCATACTGTTTTTCATAGTGGCTGCACCAATCTGCATTCCCACCAGCAGTGTACTAGGGTTCCTTTTTCTCCACGTCCTCACCAGCACTTATTGTTTATTGATGGTAGCCATTCTGACAGGTGTGAGGTGATACTCACTGTGGTTGTAATGTGTATCTCTCTGATGATTAGTGATGTTGATCATTTTTTCTTGGCCATTGAGCATTTTTTCTATGTCCTCTTTGGAGAAGCATCTATTCAGGTTCTCTGCCCATTTTTTAGTTGTATTGTTTGTCTTCCTTATGTTGAATTGTGTGAGTTTTTTATATATTCTGGAAAATAACCCCTTATCAGATGTATCATTGGCAATTAGTTCTCCCATACAGTGGGTTCCCTTTTCATTTTGATGCTCATTTCTTTTGCTGTATATTGATTTTGTATTCTGCAACCTTGCTGAACTTGTTTACTAATTCTAATAGTTTTTTTTTTTTTTTTTGGTTGATTCCTTGGAATTTCTAAAATAGAACATCATGCTGTCTATGAATAAAGATAGTTTTACTTCCTACTTTCCAAACTGAAGATCATGCATTTCTTTTTTCTTTTTTTTAATCCTCACCCGAGGACATTTTCCATTTTTTGTTCAAGTACAGTGGGAGGGAGAGAGAGGGACAGAGAGAGAGAGAGAGAAACATCAATGTGAAAGGAACACATCGAGTGGCTGCCACCTGCACGACCAACCAGGGCCAGGGACAAACTGCAACTGAGATACGTGCCCTTAGCGGTAACCGAACCCGGGTCTCTTGGGACTGCAGGCCGATGCTCTAACCACTGAGCAAAACCGGCCAGGGTGCATTTCTTTTTTTCTTTTGCCTAATTGCCCTGACCAGAACCTCTAGTACAGTGTTGAATAGTGGTGTCTCAAATGGACATCTTTGGCCCTGGCCGGTTTGGCTCAGCGGTTAGAGCATCGGCCTGCGGTCCGGAGAGACCCGGGTTCGGTTCCCGCTAAGGGCATTTACCTTGGTTGCAGTTTGTCCCCAGCCCTGGTTGGTCGTGCGGGTGGCAGCCACTCGATGTGTCCCTTTGTCCCTTTCACGTCGATGTTTCTCTCTCTCTCTCTCTCTTCCTCTCTCTCCCTCCCTCCCACTCTATCTGTACAAAAAATGGAAAAACGTTCTCGGGTGAGGATAAAAAAAAAAATGGACATCTTTGTCTTGTTCCTAATCTTGGAAGCTGTGGGTTTTTCATAGATTCCCTTTATTGAGTTGAGGAAGTTTCCTTTCATTCCTAGTTTGTTGAGTGTTTGTTTTGTTTTTTATCATGAAGAGGTGTTAGGTGTTTTTAAATGCTTTTTCTCTGTCTATTAAAGATGATTGTGTTCTTTTGTGTGTCTGTTTTACTGTCTGTAGGAGTTTACTCCATCTTGCTTTACATTTCTTATTTGATGTTTCTTTAAAACTGTTATGAGGAAGAGGAGAGACATTAAATATTTTGTTTTTCTAGGTAAGGAACGGGTATTGAATTTATTTCTCAGTTCTTTAAGTATCAGCATAACAAAAAAAAATCACTGTAGCTTCCAGGATGAATACACTGCCTAAGGTTTTTTTTTTTCTTCCTTTATTGATTTTAGAGAAAGAGGAAGGGAAGAGGGAGAAAGAGAGAGACATAGAAACGTCAGTGAGAGAGAATATTGATGAGCCACCTCCTGCATGACCCCCACTGGGGATTTGACCCACAATCTGGGAATGTGCCCTAACCAGGAATTGAACTATGACCTTTTGGTGCATGGGTCATTGCTGAATCACTGAGCCACACCGGCTGGGCCCTGCCTAAGGTTTTTATTTTATTTGTTTGTTAATCCTCACCTGAGAATATTTTCCTATTGATTTCTAGAGAGTAGAAGGGGGTGGGAAGAGAGAAACATTGATGTGAGAGAGACCCATCAATTGGTTGCCTTCCACATGTACCCCAACCTGGTTGGGGATTGAGCCTGCAACCCAGGCACATGCTCTTTACCAGAATCAAACCTGCGACCCTTCGGGCCATAGGCTGATGCTCTAACCACTGAGAAAACCAGCCAGGGCTAAGGTTTTTATTTGAATCCCTAGAGTTGTCATGGCCAGTTTAAAAGAAGCTACTGTCAAATTCAGCATCTCGCACAATGCTATAGCCTCGAATAGCTTCCAGCATATGACTTGATACTAAAGAGCCGTCACTTCTTAAGATCAGCAGCTCACTCTCAGACACATATAGTAAAGAGCTCCTTCATAGTGTCCACCTTTCTGTTCCCTGGTCCCAGGTCATTTGCCTCTTGGTATGAGGACGGTGTTTCCCAAGGGCTCTACTGAGTCATGACTTTTATTGTATGGTGGTAGTAATGGTTTTGGTCTGTTAAAATAATAATAATAATAAAGTTTTTTCCTTAATAGAGAAAAATTTAAAATACAGTAAAGTAAGAAGAAGGAAAAGAGAATCACTTATAAACTTAATTTTTGTAGTCTTTGTCTTCCTAGAATTTTCTCTTGTATATTGTCTTCATGACTTTGAGATCAGACTGTATATGCAATTTTTATGACCTGCTTTACCCTATTTAACATTATAAGATAAGCATTTTCCATGTTATAACAAATTCTGGGTAAACACCAACTAATGACTAAACCTACTAGAATTTGGTTAACCATCACCCTATTGGTAGACATGCAGCTGGTCTGCAATTTTGGCTTTCACAAAAATACTGCTGTTAACAGCCTTTTTTTAAGGGGCTGGAGTTGGAAGATGGTTTATGTCAGTGTTTGTATTTAAAAGCCAAATGGTGCCCTGCCTGGTGTGGCTCAGTTGGTTGGAGTGTTATCCCGTGAACCGAAGGGTTGTGGGTTCGATTCCCAGTCAGTTCACATACCCAGGTTGCTGGTTTGATCCCCGTTGGGGTGGATACGGGAGGCAACTGATCAGTATTTCTCTCTCTTTCTCTCCTTCTCCCTTCCTCTCTCTCTAAAAGCAATGAAAGCATAGCCTCAATGAGGATTTAAAAAAATAAAAAGCCAAGTCATCCATGTCCTCTCTGCAGACTAGGAATCGGGGGACACCCACACCCAGGGACTCTGGTTGTTCACTTAAATTATCTGTTAACCAGACAAATCCCCTCACTAAAACAGCATTACCACAGAAACTGACCACAGTAAAAATGTTTCTAAGCCTGTGATAATGACCCACATTAACAGTGAGTTTCTGGTTTCCTTAGAAGGAAACCCGCTGCTGTGAGCAGTTCACAATGAAGGCCTTTTCCCGTCCTCATCGGCGTGGTGAGCTGTAACAGATGCTCTGTTGTTCCCACAGCCACGGCCACTAGGGGAATCGGAGAGCCGTAATTTGTGACCCAGAAGACATTTGGGGTTTTCTTTGGTAATATAAAGAAAAAAGGGGGGGGGGGAATTTGTCCAAATTAGGTAAGTCTTTCTTTACTGGTTCAAATTAAGTAAATAAAAACCTAAGTCCATTTTGAGAACCTCTTTATGTTTTATCATTTTGTGTTTTCTTAGAAGGTGCCTAGACACTTTAAGAATGCCCCTTAATATGGCTTTATTGCATTACCATGAAATTTCTAGTCAGAGAAAAAAAAATGTGGTCCCCACTGCTCACCTGTACCCTCAGATGGCCATATATGGAAATCCCTCAGTCATCACCACTGAGCCAACTTAAAGCAACTGGCTTAATCTTTCCCATTTCACTGTTCTAAGCTGAGCAAATCTAGGGTGGTAAGGAGCTAAGGAACTGTGGCTGAGAGTTGAGTTCATTGAGGGACATGATGTCCAACAGTGGGTCAAGTGCCCTTGTCTTCTGTGCTTTTATCCTTTTCCCTATTTCCTGGGGCTGCTATTCTGTTCTGTTCTCTATCTCTAGAGTTAAGTACCCTCCTGGTTAATCTGGACTTTCAGCTGGACCCACCCAGGGCTGCCTAACCTACCTAGGTTTCCATATTCTCCAACCACCCTTCACTTTTCTCTCACAGACGTAGTGTTGTTAGGAAAACAATCTGATGAATTCATCCTACTACTCAGGCTGAAATGAAGATAGAGCCTTTTCAATTCTTTGCCTTATTGGGTCGCATGACCTTTTACTCTCTCATAGTCATTTCTTTTAGGTGTTTTTTAAAAAGTATATTTTTCTTTCTGGTAGTCTGATTAAAAAGATGGTAACATCTGTACTCTTAGCTTCTAATGAGTTTCAGAGTCAGTGTCCAGGGCCATCTGTCTTTACTTCTCAGAAAGCCCAAGGGAAATCCCATGGGGTTGCTATTCTAGAAACTTCTTTAGGTTTGCCTGTTCCTAGATATTAGGAATTGGGATAAGGTAATTGCTGGGCTGTTTAGGATCAGGTTGGCTTAAAGCTATGTAATGCTGTCACCTAAAAGTGAGGCATAAAGGCATTGAAAAACAAATGAAGTACCCAGCCCCTATTGACCTAAGAAGATGATAGGAGCCACAGATTATTCTCTTTGTGTTCAATCTTTATACTTTTTATTTTGTGACTCGTGTGTATGCTCATTACCTTACAACTCAACTTGGAGGGAGCATTTCTGTCTTGCAGTGAGAGAGGGTACTGTGAGGAGTTGGCATGGTGTGAGTAGAACCGTCTTCTGGCCTTTGGAACAAGGAAAGGGGACATTTATAGAAGTGAACTGGATATCAAAGGAGTGTTCTTAGGAAGGTGTGCAAGATGAATCCTGTTTTTTAAAGGAATATCCACACTACCTCAGTTTTCCCAGCAGATTGGCATCATGCCTTTGGTGCTCCCAGGACACTTGCTGGGAATGTTGTCATTGTTGGCATGTTTGTCTCCTTTACTAGATTTCAGCTTCTTAGCAGCAGGTCCCTGTCCTAAGCACCCAGCACAATGAGGCGCTGCTCACTCCACCAGGACCAAAAGCATCCCTGATTCAGTCCCGATCCCTCTAATCTCAAACCACCTAGCCTGGAAGTGAACCACAAGGAACAGAAACAACCGAGGCTGTATCTGGGTGGAGGCTGGGGTGGCCTTCAAATGACAACATGGTTGTCATCAGAGAAGAGGTAAAGGAAAAGGCAGAAGCAAAGTCATTATTTAGGAGGAGTTCTATTTTGGTTGTAATCTCAAAATGAAGTTCATTTGGATGTGCTCGGTCTCTTAATAGAAGAGAAGCTGCGTTAGCACACTTTCTAGTTTGTGAGTTTCTGGCCCAGTTCCAAGGAAAGGGAGACTCATTTAGATGGCCACAGAGTGTCAACAATGGAACTGGAAACTGAAAGAGAATAATGATACCACTTTCTTCTAGGTCCTATATTTAATGCCTCCGTGTATTCAGACACACCATCAGTCATCCGGGGAGATCTGATCAAATTGTTTTGTATCATCAGTGTCGAAGGAACTGCCCTGGATCCAGGTACTTCTCCGCATGCTAACTCCTTCCCCGTATGGCTTTTTGTAAATTTTTCTTGCATCATCCCCGCTATGTTTCACAGATGTGGAAGCCAAGGATTATGTGGTCTGTTTATCCCCAAACTGCTCTGCTCAGGACTTTGTTCTCAATAGGTGTTTAATAAATATTTGTTGAATGGATGCATCTGTCTGTCAGATGAATTGGAAACTCATCAGATATTTAATCTGGGTTGTCAAGGTGCTCAGTGGGCCACTTACAGGGCTGATTCAAGCTGATTTAAAACCCCCTGGCAGAGTCAAGCTCCTCACTGAATCATTCAGACATTTATTGAGCTCCTTCTGTGTACAAGGGCTGTTTGAGATGTTGGGAGTAGAGTTGTGAACAGAACATTCAAAGTCTGCCCTCATGGCACTTGCAACCTAGTTAAGGAGACAACAAGAAAGAAATCACCATATAGTATCAGATAGTGATTAACGCTATGAAGAAATACAGAAAAGAACAAATGAGTAGCAAGTGACCAAGGGGGTGTTAGCATAGATTAAATTCTTAGAAAATCTTTGTAAATTTTTTATTTGCAGAAAATACTAGCGTTGCCAACAGGATGCCAAAGAGTTGTGGGCCATTAGGCTCATACCCTTGCTGCTTGTCCCCCTTCATGACCCTCTGCTTGTCCCCCTTGATGTCCCTCTCTTTTTAAAATTTTTTTTATCCTCACCCGAGGACATTTTTCCATTTTTTGTTCAGATAGAGTGGGAGGGAGAGAGAGAGAGAAAAACATCAAGTGTCTGCCACCCGCACGACCAACCAGCGCTGGGGACAAACTGCAACCAAGGCACGTGCCCTTAGCGGGAACTGAACCCGGGTCTCTCTGGACCACAGTCTGATGCTCTAACCGCTGAGCCAGACTGGCCAGGGTCCTCTCTCACTATTTAAGAGGACTTTAAATGCACTTATATGGCTTTGTTGTTGAGCAGGACTGTTCCCACCTCTGCCTTCCTCTCGGAGAAGTTGACTCACTGCCTGGCGGCTACCCATCTCCTCTGCATGCTTTGACCTCGGGCATCTTTGCACTGTCCACCCCATCACAAGCAGAGCTATGGCCTCTCACAGGCCATTTTTGTACCTTAAAAAGGCCATATTTGTACAGGTTTTACAAAGTTCTATGCAGAGACCCCTGGGCATGTGGCCCTGGGGTGGAAACTGGAAGCAGGTGTTCATTCTGTGTTAAGAGGCAGGTTGTAAGCAAAGGAAGGGTGGCCTGCAGTGAAAACCAGTGTGCATGCCATAAGTAGGATCTGGGCAGAGCTGATGCCAAGGAGCAGAGGCCTGGGTGGCGCCACTCAAGGTCTGGCTCCTACGGGACCATGTCCCACAGTTGAAGGTTCAGGTGGCAACCAGGTCAGAGTTGGTGAGTGTTTTCTGTAAAGGGCCCAGGTAAGTATTTTTGGCTCTGTGCCCAATGTGTTCAGCAGCAACTCCTCAACTCTGATGTGTGCAAGGAGAGCACTGTAAACAGCGGGCACAGCCATGCTCCAGTAAAACTGTTCACAGAAACAAGAGGTGGGCTGGATTGGTTGATAACCAGAATTGGCTTTGTTAGGGGACCTAAACATGGTGAGCTTCAGAAAAAGAAGAGTTTGTGGAAAATGTAAAAATAAATGGGGGGGGGGGGGACAGAAACCCATCCGAACCAACAGGGGTGGTTAGCTTCGCCTGGGAGTAAGGAACGAGCTCAGGTCCTGATGGAGCTGCCACCACAGTTACATGCTGCTGGATGGCAGGGATTTGTTCTGAGAAATGCATCGTTAGGCAGCTTTGTGGTTGTGTGACCATCATAGAGTGCACTTAACACACCCAGCTGGGGCAGCCTATGGCTGTCATTGTGTGCACTGCACTTGCATATGGGGGGCAGCACAGAGGGTTTGTTTACACCAGCGTTGCCACAAACAGGCAAATCCCTGATGTCACTCAGTGATCAGACGTTTTCAGCTCTGTTGTAATCTGATGGGACATCACATGTGTGGTCTGTTGTTGACCAAAAGGTCATTATGCTGCACGCGACTGCACTATGCCTGAGGTACAGCCCATTGAGGACAGAAAGTAGATTCACAAGTGAAAATGAAGGTAAAAGTAGAAAAAGACTGCCAGGGAAAGGGGAGGGAAATCTTTTTCAAAGGTTGGAATAAGATAATATCATTTTTACCCTTAAAGCTCATTTATGATATGTACAAAAATAAATCATTTAAGTGCTCTGCAAATTAATGGGTCACCAATTGTGCCCTTAATGTAACAAGTCTTTTCCTCCAGACTAAGCGTAAAAGCTGGAGGTAGCTGTTATCTGGCAGATCACAATTTTCCAGAACTTTGCCCTCTTGGACTGTGTGGGTGGAAGATTCTAAATAATTAAATGCAAGTTGTAATTTAGTTTTTCTCACTCATCCTATGGGCTGTGAAGGAATTCTCTTTTGGAAAGGACATGTTTCGTGAGTGGACTGAGTACCAAGCCACATCAGTGCCAAGGTGGGGGGAAGGATGGGGGCAGGGGCAGGTGGTAGCCATTTAGAGGTTGTGTCTTAGGTCAGACACCTAAGGTCAGGTTCTCTAGAAGCAAAACGAGACAAGCATGCAAGTGATTAATTGAAGGTGTGCTCTCAGGAGAACATCATGAGGGAGCAAGGGAATCTAGATAGAGCAGGGAAAGAAGCCAGGCTAAGATGTGAACTCTAAACAAGTCTAACTGCCCACGGGGAGCTCTGGAGAGTCAGTTGCACTGCAGGGATGAGCTCCTCAAGGGAAAGGGCTGACTCTTATATCACCTTATTAGTCATTGTCCACAGGCTGAATGCTAGGGAATGAGAGTGTTTCGTAATGTCCAGGAGGTGCCTTCTGTCATCTAAGGCCAGTCCCCTGGAGGACAGTCCAGATGTGAGGGCTTAAGTGGCCAACACCAGCAGCTGGGGGTTCAGCACACCAGCTGGTCAGGACAGGGCACCAAGAGCCTCTGCTACAGGCCGTGATGCCCCTCCTGCAAGTAGCACTTACCTGTAGTGCTGTATGCTGAACTGTGGACATAAGGATGTTGTTCATGGCGACCAACTTTTACTGAGCACGTACTATGTGAAACTAAGTCATGATGAATTTAAGTGACTTGCCCAGGTCCCATGGCTAATAAGTGCCAGTGCTGGGAGTCTAGCCCAGGTAGTCTGGACCTGCAGCCTAATCACCGCACTATAAGGCACAGCAGGATTGGGGTTAGAGCCTGGGCATAAGTCACGGGGACACGGTGTGACTTTGCCTTCAGTAACCCCCAGCACCTGCAGAGACAGCAGCTCTGAGCTGGAATTTTCATACAGGACAGCGATGCAGGTGCCCACTCTGCTCTGGCACCATGAGGGTGTGAGGATGCTGGCAATACTCCCTCTGTCCCCAGGGAGTTGGTCTTGGCAAGAGATGATCTGTATAACTGGGGGCAATCATATTTTTGATTAATTTATTTTCTTTTCCATTGATTTTCGAGAGTAAGTGGAAGGATGGGAGGGGTTCAGGTGGGTGGGGGGTACATCGATTGGTTGCCTCCTGCATGACCCTGATGGGGACTGAGGATCAAACCTACAACCCAGGTAGCCCTTGACTGGGAATTGAACCCGTGACTCTCCAGTGCACAGGCTGACGTTCCAACTACGGAGCCACACCAGCCAGGCCTGGGAACAATAAAATTTTATGCTCAAGTGCCACAGTGGGTTGATGGGCAGAAAAAGAAGGTATTTGAGGATCAGAGTAGAGAGCTTTCATTCTATAGGTAAAGCTGTGGCTTTAACATTTTTATATAAGTTGAAAAGGAATAATCATTTGGATAGTTTTATAGAAATTCTTACAAGTATCTGAATATAATTTTTTTGCCTTATTATGTGTATTTTTTAGTTATTATGTGTATTCTTTGAGGTTATCATGTGTATTTTTACTGAGTATTATTTTGTTTAACCAAAATTGTGTTATTTTAACATTTATGTAGAAAGCCTTGTCAAATGAATTTAAGATAAAACTATTTGTGGTGTTGCAGTCCTTTCTTGCCTGCTGGATGAATCTCAGACCTGACACAGTTGATACCACTTAGTAACAGTCTAAAGAAGAATTCAGGGGCTCATGGTGGACGCTGTCTTCACATTCTGTGAGAATTACCACTTGTGCCAAAGTCTCCTTTTTCTAATGCTCATATTCATTTATTTGAGGCTGTTCAAGCCTTGATTTTGCAGCGTACTTTACGATCCAGCTGCATTACTCTCTGGGACTGTTAAACTGTTCAATTTTCTCAGCTTGACATTTTTCCCTCTGGTTCTGAACTTAAGCACTTCTGTAGGGGGGTTGGAATCCACAGCGAACAGTAAATTCGAAACTGTTTACAACTAAATTCTGTATGATTTACTTGATATACCTTTTGGTCCTTAAGACTTTTGTGTTCTTCCAGTTTTGGGTGCTTCTCCCCAAAATGTCAAAGGACCTTACCTTTTTTTTGGAGACAGCGTGTGATGTCTCCACATACCAGCTTTACATCCTGTGCTCCTTAGGCTGGGCGGTGGTAGCAACATGATTAAGGGGGGAATGCTGGGGCTGGGCTCCCTGGGTTCAGATTCACACCCTGCTACCTCCTGGCTATGTGACCTCACGGGTGTTTGGTCTGCCATAGGGTGTGGAGTGGGATAGCTCCTTCATCACAGGACTGGTGTGAGGATTCATTCAGGAGCAGGTAGAGCAGTGCTGGCCCATCATCAGGTGGCATGTGTCAGCCGTAAGTGGTATTTCTGCCCATAGCACTGACCTCAGGGTTTTGGCTTGGTGATCCATAGATGACATGGCCTTTGATGTGTCCTGGTTTGTGGTGCACTCCTTTGGCCTGGACAAGGCTCCCATCCTCCTGTCTTCCCTGGACCGGAAGGGGATTGTGAACACGGCCCACAGGGACTGGAAGAGCAACCTCAGCCTGGAGCGCGTGAGCGTGCCGGAATTCTTGCTACAAGTGCATGGCTCCGAGGACCAGGACTTTGGCAACTACTATTGTTCTGTGACTCCCTGGGTGAAGTCACCAACAGGTTCCTGGCAGAAGGAGGCAGAGATCTACTCCAAGCCCATCTTTATAACTGTGAAGATGGATGGTAAGAGTGACATACAAGTAATACTCTCGCTGTTTGGGGACTGTCTTCTCTCTTCTGTACTGCAGCTGACAGAATCCAGGTTCCCCCAGAACACAGCCTGGTTTCCTCTAGGCCTGGCCCGGGCCTGTAACAGAAAGTGCACAAGCAGCCCTTGCTGTTTGCCCAGCCTTCATATCATATGCTGGAGGCACCACTGAAAAATGATTTTTAAGACTTACTGGAAAGATTGTTGATGCTTTCTATAACTTCTATACAAACTCACTGTGCCGGGCAGAGAGCAGGTTCAGGTCTCTGGGGGAGGCTGTGAATGGGTTCCTGACACTTGCTCGCTTCTTTTGTTTTTTAAATTCTCACCCAAGGATATCCCTCATTCATCTCCAGATAGAGTGGGAGGGAGAGAGAGAGAGACACACACACATTGATTGGCTGCCTCTCACACAACCTCAAGCAGGGCCAGGGACCAAACCACAACCGAGGTACATGCCCTTGACCAGAGTCGAACTCAAGACTGATCTGCAGGCTGACGCTCCAGCCGCTGAGCCAAACCGGCCAAAGCTCTTTCCCTCTTCTTGATTTTGCTTCTTGGAAAAGAGAGCCCCCTCCTAGTCACTAGCATGGAGGGAATTCTTCATGGAATCCCAAGATGGGAGGGGGAACTCCTGGCCTTTTTGACCCACACTGACCACCAGGGTCAGCCTAACAAGGTGGTCAGAAAGCCCCCCCCCATTACCCTGTTCCCTGAGCACCCCAGAGTGGGGACAGTGATTCCTTGGTTAATGAGAAATGTCTTCTCTGCAAAAGTTTTCAGGGTAAACATTAATTGAAAACAACTCCATGGAGAAAATTCAAGTCCAGGTGCCTCTGAGCATTAGTAGGAGACTGAATGTGTTTCCCTGGTGATATTGTCAGTTTGGGAGAGGCTGGAATTGGACCCCCAGCTCTTCCACAGATGAGTTAGCTCTTCTGATCCTTTATTCCCTCTCTTGTAAAATGGAATAATAACCTTTCCTAGGGCGGTTGTGAAAATGCAGCCATATTAAATGTCAGGCACCTCCCACAGTGCCAGCATTCAGCCAAGGAGTGTTGGTGCTTCTGGGGGAAAGGGATAGGGAGTTCTGGGGGGTGGGACCTAAGCAGTGTTTGTGCATTCCTGACACTTACACCATATTTGCATCTTAGAAATTCTTTCCTTGAAGTGGCTTCCTATGAAAACTCAGACTTACCAAACAAGTGCAGGAGTGATTATTCACTTCGCTAGATAATTTACTACAGTGTTACTTAAAATAGCTCCCCAAGTATACTTCAGTCATTCAATGCATAGAATTGATTTACGTACAGTTTTTTTTCTTTTAAGGAGGCATCTGCTGCAGAGTGTGCAGTGCCCTTATACTGACTTTTAAAAATCCATCTCCTGCCAAAACCCTAAAAAGCAAATTGACATTCAAAGACATCGAGTGAAATCATTTTTGTTTTCTTACCCCCCACAGCACTGGGTGGGGAGACACTGCTCACTTCTTGGACAAGTAGGGCTGAGCTGCTCCTGTCAAAAGCACTGTGCTAGGTGCTGAAGATAGGATCAATGAGATCTGATGGCTTCAGTGGGGAGAGGAGGTCTTCCCTGTGGCCACCTCCCTGGCATCACTAACCCGGCTTCCCTTTGCTGTCCCCTCCCAGTGCTGAACGCCTTCAAGTACCCGCTGCTAATCGGTGTCGGCCTGTCCACTGTCGTCGGGCTCCTGTCCTGCCTCATCGGGTACTGCAGCTCCCACTGGTGTTGTAAGAAGGAGGTCCAGGAGACCAGGCGTGAGCGCCGCAGGCTCATGTCCATGGAGATGGACTAGGCTGGTACCTGGCCGAGGCAACAACGGGGACGGTCTAGGAGCAATTTGGGCAAGAAGAGGATGGTGATATTTTAACGTGAAGTGTGTTACACTAAAACCCAGTCCTCTCTAATCTCAGGTGGGACTTGGCGCTCTCTCCTCTGCATGTCAAGTTCTGAGCGCGGACACGTTGACCAGCACACAGCTTTTCTTCCCACAGCACTTTCTGAGGACAATCAAGTGTGTCTTTTCCCAACTGCGGCTTTTTAATGGTTAACCTCTGTCTAATTTTTTTCTCCTACTGTTTATAGATCTCTGACTTGTATATGTTTATAGCTTTTGTTCCAAGGGATTGTGGTGAGGATGGGTGATGGCATTCGGAGTTCTTTGTCCTGGGTGAGAGCTGGCTTCAGGGTTGGAGGCAGGTGTGAAGAGAGTGGCTAGGTCACCCTCTACGCCGGCCCAGAGACAACGCAGACCTGTGCTGAAGGCAAATTTGTGGCGTTCACTACCCTGCCCATCCCCTATTTTCAGGGGTTTAGACCACATTTGAAATCTAAACTTGCAGTATGTAACTTCTTATCAAGCCCAAATGCATATTTTGGTTTTTTGCTTCTCTGCCCCCCTTTCCATTTCTTTGCTCTTTGCTTTACGTGAGCGTGCTGGAACAGCAGCCCTGGAATCTAGAAATTGGCTCTCCACCAAGCACCTTATCATGCCACCTTAGCCTTAAGAATGAATATGAAGAAAAATACATGGCCACCTCTGTCCAGGGCAGTAAGAAAGTCTACAAGGAAGAGGAGGTTGGGGACAGGGGAAGGAAGAGACACTGACCGCAGTAGTGCGGAGGCACTGCGCCTCAAGGGGCTTCAGGGAGAGGGGAAGGCGGATCCTCAGTTACGTTTCTGCAGCTCGTGCCAGGAGGGTCAGTGGTGCCAGGCCTGTGTCAGGCGGAAGAAACCACCTCCATTCCCCAATCCTGTCCTTTGCAGGAGGCAAAGGCCTTGGACACCAAGAGATGGCCAGGGGACCACAGATGCTCCACGTCCTTCACAGGCAGCTTGGTCTCCTTAATGTGAAGGACAGTTGCTGCTTGTGAGACTGGCTGACTTCATGGAATTGGAAACTGCCTGGAAGAACCATGTATTTCTCTGACCTTTTCAGTCCTGCAGGTCTTTCTAAGATTCCCTACAAGGGGTTAGTGAGAAAGGGTAGACTTTGTGGGATGTTTGCTTTCCTATTATGAACCTGAGGGAAATCCAGCAATTTATTGCCATGTGAACAGCCTGCAAAATAGATCTGAGAGCGGTCTCCTTGGCCCGACTGCTTGTATCAGGAACAGGACAATGGACCAAAAGAGATCTCCCACTCCCTGGGTGTCTCGCCCCAGGCTCGGCGCTGGCCTTTCGGAAGTGTCCCGGCGGGGCTGAGGCACAGTGACTCATGCCCTACATTGCACTCCTCTGTGCTGCTGCCATGGCTCTGAAGGATCTAACACTCCTCTGTCTTCCGAAGGGAAAAAAAGACGTGTTTGTTTTGAGCAATAAAGTAATACAAGATGATGGCCATTCATGTACGGCTCTTTGTCATAATGAGCCAGATGAGCCAGACCCCTCCTGGCTCACGACCTTCCCCTCTACTTCCCACTCTCTGCTGCCCATGAGTTCTGCACTCATCACCGAGTCACCCCCGGAGGCAGGTTCCCACTGTGTTTTCTTTTTGTTTTGCCCACTGAGGGGACCACTGATGTGATAGGAATGAGATTCTGCGCTAATGGTGGCAGCACAAATGAATTCCAGGCACAAAGGAAATGCGGGAGGATGGGCGCAGGTGTGCCCAGCAGAGCGTGAGTGACCGGAGGAGGAGGAGGAGGAGGAGGAGGAGGCCTTGACTGCACCAGAGTTGGGTATTTTCTACATGTCTTTCCTAACTGATCTTTCAGAGGACGTGGGTCACAGGTGATCACACAAACTAGAATTAAAGAGAACACAAACAGGTGCTGTGTTAGGAGCAGCCAGTGCCCTTGAGCCCCGGCAATGCTGACACTTACAGAAGATTCAGGATTGTTGTGGCGCAGGCTCTTCTAGGTAGGAGGAAAGGGTACTTAGCTAAGGAAGTGATCAAGTGGTCCCAGGTGTGTGTGAAACTGTGGATGGGTCACAGCAAACACTTGGTAGTAGAAAAGGTGATGTGTGTTCACGCACTGTATCTTGTCCTTTCAAACTGCTGTGGTAGTCAAGGCTGGAGGTGTGAAGGCATTGATCCCAACCCCACACTCTGTCCACTGGGCTGGCCCAACTGCCAGTCACCTGGGGGCTAGTCCAAAGGGGAAAATCCCAGGGTGTTATACCAAGGACTTCCTTCCTCCCAGGGGCATAAGCTTGCCAGGAATGTGCGTCCTTTTAAAAGTGTGAGATACACTCCTGTGTTGTACCAAATAGAGCCCCACAAAGTGCTCTTCTGGAGGAGGTTCCTGCCAGAAGCGCTGGGGTGAATGGAGAAGAACCTAGCCACGATTCACATGGACGACATTGCACTTCTGAACAAAAAGAAACTTGATAAAATGTTTGGGTTTTTTTCCTAATCATAAAAGTATCCCCAGAAAGAGCCTAAGCTATGTTCAGATAGGAGTCTCAAAATTACTTTCAAGTGTTTACTTTATAATGTTTACATACACTTTACACTTTTTTTAAAAAGAAAAAAATGCAAACTCTAACTTTTTAACAACTTTTCAGATTTTTCATGGGACAATGGAACTCTGACTCGCCAACTGGATTTAAATCTTAATTTAGAAATGTATTTATTTGTGGTTTTTCTCCCCTCCTATCCACGTGGCTTTCCCCGAGACCCTGGTGAAGGAGGCCTCTCCTACCCAGACTCTTGTCTGTTTTCCCTGGTGGCTCTTGCTTCTTGCTTTGCAGACGGCGTGCAGCCATGATTTTGTCACTGGCATCTGTGAGCCAAAGACTGAGCCTTTGTGGCGGGAATAATAAGCAATACTACACAATTTGCTACTTTCAGAAAACTTTTTTTTTTTTTAGCTTCACCGATGACAACAGAGGAAGAAGGGGACTGGGATTTGGGTAAGTTCTCTTCCACTGTTTGACCAAATTCTCAGTGATAAATATTGTGTGCAGATCACTAGGAGAAAAAAGTTGACTTTCTTTTGTAGCGTGGCACATAGGATCTGCCAAATTTTACATAGACAAAGGAAGGGTCTTGTGTATTTTTGTCCATATCCAATGTTATATGAACTAATTGTATTGTTTTATACTGTGACCACAACTATTATGCAATGCACCATTTGTTTTTTATTTCATTAAAGGAAGTTTAATTTAAATTGAACTTGTGTGAGGAACATGATATCGGCCCCTGCTATCCTTTTATCTCCTCTGCATTGGGGGGAGGGGGGTCATAGCTGAATTCCACTGATCTCTGAATCCTATGACAGCATTGTGGGTTTTCACTGAAGATAAAAAAAGAAATGGATTTCACAGCTGGATATTGAGATTCCCACTGAGCAAAAAGGTGAGGGCCAGACCTGATGGAAGTTCTCTTGGTCTTTTGGTGAATTCTCATGACCTTATGGGTCTCCTGTCAGGAAAGAGAAGTTCAATGTTGTTCCTCTCTGCAGATCAGGAAACCAACCCCAAAGTTCTGTGACCATATCGTGACTAGAACAGAGTGGCTTTTCTGACTCATGACCCAGTCTGAAACCAAACCAGTCCCGAAGGTCCTGGCCCCTATAATATAAAAACAGTACTATTCCACCAGCCGCTGTCTTCAGGGACATGGACAGGAGGGAGCACAGGGAGCCTGGACTGCTGCTGGCCCCTGGACAGCCGCTCAGCCTTGGCTGTCCTTCCCCATGGACTTTCCTGTGGGCCTCATTGTGTTCTGCGCAGGACCAGTACACATGTTGAGGTCTGTGTCCTGGTACCTAACCTTGCCCAGGTATCGGCTCCATTCCGGACATGGTGAAGGTACTGGCAGTTTATAAATGCACAGTTAATGCTCTGTTTGGGAAAGGGCTCCATCACTGATGCTGTCGGAGGATTCTGCTCATATCAAAACACTGGCACAGCCAGAGCGGGTCTCGTGTCCCCCTGCCTACTCCTGAGCCTGTTCCTGCTTTGGTATAAACAAACAAAACAAAAACGTGCTTGCACACCCACTGTGTGCCTAGGCGTTGTGTAAGGCTCGGAGAACTTGCTTCTTACTTGCCCTCAGGGCTTGATGTATACTGTTTGCCTGAACCTCTTTCCATCTCTCTCATACTTCAGGTCCCTGGGAGCCTGTTCTGCTTCTCAAGACTTAAGTGAGGATCCCCTGACTGATGCTCTGATAGTCTGAAAGTCATGAGGAAAGGGACCATTCACCACTGTGGTTCCAGTGCCTAATTATGACAATAGTTACACAAGGATTCATATGACATGCCATGCACCTGCACAAGTACAAGTCACTGTGGCAGCAGCAGAAGCTCTCCCACTGGCTGTCCATATAACTGCATCTTCCAGATACCAGCCCTCCATTTCCTCTAACCCACAGACCAGTGTTTCATTATCTATTTATTTTGATCTTAGAGGAAGGGGGCGAGAGAGAGAAACATTGATGTGAGAGAAAGAAAATCGATCGGCTGCCTCCCGCTCACACCCTGACCAGGGATCACACCTGCAGCCTGTATATGGGCTCTGACCAGGAATCAAACCTGCCACCTTTTGGTATACAGGATGTTGCTCCAACCAACTGAGTTACACCAGCCAGAGCCATAGACCAGTGTTTTAAAATACAAGCTTTATTATTCTTTAAGTATGACAGGGCCAACAGATCAGCAGATGACTTCCATTGAAAAGATAGCTTGTTACACTCACAGATCCCAAAAGGAGGGCCACACCACAGAGGGCCACACGGGGAAGCACCAGGGTCTGGAGCAGAGGGAGTGAGAGAGAACCACGGGCAAGAATAGCCCTGACTGTGGTCTTTACAGGAAGGAAAGGCAGGGTAAGCAGACTTAGTCTGGATAATTTCAGCTGGCTCTGGGGCCCAGGGCTTGTCCCTAGTTATCTGGTACCTGTCCCTGGGATGATTATGTTACTAGATGGGGTCTGGGTCCGGAGCTGGTCTGCCTCAGGCCCACTGGTAATGTGTGGGTTCTTGACTTTGTGTAGGAAAGATTTCAAAATACAAGTCCAGGTGATTTTGAGAGAATGTTTATTCAAGCTGGGGACAGTGAAACAAAGGAATTAGGGTAGAAGAAGCAACAGGAGAAAGTCAGAGGAAAGGGGGCTTGGAGGCAGGTCCGAGTAGTTAACCTGGGATGAGCTGCTGCTGCTGCCCACTGTTCCCCTGGTTGTCTTGTGGGTCCCTCAGAGTTTAGGAGTAAAACAGCAGAGATACAAAGCGTGGGCATGTTCTAGCCAGAGTGCACCATGGGTAGAATATGTTTATTAAAGCTGAGAGAATGTTTTATGAAAGCTGGGGACAGTGAAACAAGAAAGGACTTAGGAAAGAAGAAGCAACAGCAAAGAGCCTTGGCGGAGCTGCTTTGGCTCTCTGAGAAATTAAAGTCACAGTGACAGAAGTGAGCTCACTGGGAAGCCAGAGAAAAGGGGGCCCTGGAGACAGGTTCAGGGGTAAACCCAGGACAAGCTGCCACTGCCCACTGCTCCCCTGATTGCAAGTCTCATGGGGACCCTTAGAAAAAGAGCAGAGATAACAAGGCATGGACATGCTCTAGCCAGAGCACGCAGTGGGTCCATTGTCTTGGGGCTTATCTTTCTTTGTCCTGTAGGAATTCTAGGGGATCTCAGGGGAGAGACAACAATTATTCATTAGCTTTTCAGGTGTGTCCTTCAATGTGTTGAGTCATCAAAATGTGCATAGAGAGGAGTTAGGAGTTCTTTTCTGCGTAGCATTATTTTCAAAGAACATTGTTGAAGAGGGACCAGGTCGGTCTGAATGTGTTGCTCCTAAGTGTCCTTGGTTAGGGAAGATAAAACCTTGTGATTCATTAGATGACTGTAAATTGCTCAAATCACTTGGCAGTGCTTAATTATTTTGTCTCAGTTTTTCTTATTCCACTTGTTGAGGAATTTCTCTAGCTTCTTACTATCCTGCCTCAGAGTGCTGCTGAGCATGTGAGCCCAGTGGAGGAGAGGAGGGGGTGTGGATTGGTTGGCTGGCACATGAAAGGCATGCTCACAGGTAAATCATTTTCTTTCTCTAGGAACTGGCTAGCCTGGGCAGTCTCTCCAGAGTCACCAAGGCCCTGGATGTTAAAGAAACAAAAACCAGAAAATAAATTGATGATTAATACACTTCCCGCTTGGGGTTGGTGTAATTCTCAGGTACACCTGCATGACTCAGCTCCATCCAGGGAGGTGACACTCACCTGAGTCTTCTCTGTTTTCTTTATTCTCCATCCTATTTGTTTCAACAACACTGGTTACTTTGATGACATAAATTCATTGAATGATAGATAAACCAATGAAATGTGAGTGCCAAAGAAAGAGGTGCTAATAAAAGTGCAATGAATTCTCCAGAAAGAGTCAATAAGATAGGGGCAAATTGCTTTTTAATTTTTTTATTAATCCTCACCTGAGGATATTTTTTCCATTGAATTTTAGAAAGAGTGGAAGAGAGGGAGGGGGGGGGAGAGAGAGAGAGAGAGAGAACTACCAATAAGAGAGAGACACATAGATTGGTTGCCTTCCACACATGCCCCAACCGGGCCGGGGATTGAGCCTGCAACCCAGGTATGTGCCCTTGACTGGGAATCGAACCTGCAACCCTTTGATGCGTGGGTGGACGCTCTAACCATTGAGCAACACTGGCCAAGGCCAAATGGCTTTT